TATCTGATGTTAATATACTTGATGCATTAACATTAAATGTGAAAACGCATGATTATAATTATGCGTCTGGTTCTGAACTTATATGTTTATCGTATATGATTTACTTTAAATTGCTATCAACGTTAAACCCTAGATGTAAATTATATGATACATCTGATCAGAATATATTAGTGGAAACGAATTTTGCAAAGTCTAAGGTCACCACGAGGAGACCTATTAAGTGGGAAGAAATTAATTTTCCAACTACATGGACTTTGGATTCGGTTATATCCCCTTATCAGATAACTAATGCTGTCAGTAATACTGAGTATTCTCATATTACTCAAAATCCGGATGGAAGGATTTGCATTCAGTTTGATGATAATAGTTCCACTTATAGTAGACAATCATTTTCTAATAATAGACTGTTGCCTGCTATTAGTTCTAACTATAATAGACATTCATTTACCAATCGTAGACTGATGCCTCATATTCAACACATTTCTCCTGTTGAACCAGTCTATGGACCAGCTAGAAATCGTGCTGCATCTCTACACACAATTTTTACTAAAGTAGGTGATAAACTTGTTGAAAGGGTTAAAATTAACCCCAAGACAAATATTGTTCAAGATAATGATAATATTTCTGATAAGGATATTCCTTCTGCGTCCGAAATGGATTTTGACCCAAATGAAGTTTAAATGATTCCACACCAAATTGATTTTAGTGCAGGGTCACAAGCTAGAGGTTATATTCAAAAAGAATTTTTCAGTGATAAATTGAACCAGTTTAAAACTTGGTTTTTTGATACTTATAGTAAAGAGGATTTAAACAATATTTCTCAAGAGTTCTATGAAACTTGTGCTTTACATAATCAAATTATGTATTTTGTTCATTGGTTTATAACCACCTATTTACCACTTTTTATAAAAGTTTTGGAAAGATCTTATAAAGACGGGAGTGGCAATATTATTAAAGCCACCTACCCTCCTCAAGCACCTTTTGTTTTACCTAATAATACAGGTATTACTTTCACTGCATTTCAAAAATTTATTGATGAAGATGTTGCTGCAGTCAGCATCGCAGAAATTAATAAATTAATTTCTCAAAATAATTATTTAAGCTTATATGTTAAAGTTTTAGGAGAACAAATTAGTTTTCTTGATAAAAAACTTGATGATTTGACAGTTTTGATTAAAGATATGAGTACTAGTAAGATTTTGATTGATATTGCCTCTACAAGCAAATCAGAACCTCAAACTGTTCTTACTCATGTTCAAAGACCCCCTGAGATTCAGGATTTTAAATTTAGATCTTTTTATGATTTAGAAGAACTTCTTGATAAAAAGTTATCCGGTTTAAATATCAAACCCATTGATTTATCAAATGATTTTGCTGATAAATTAGATACTACTTTTGACTATAAAATGATATTTTGTCAGAGTTTAATAAACTCAGAGGTTATCCCAAAAAGAATAGTAAGTTTTTTGATAGCAGATATGCTGATAAACCCAGAATGCAAACTTATTATTATAATCGTCCTACTCCTCAAGATGTTTTAATAGAGGAACGTGATTGAAATCAGACTAATACGTCTTATAGTGGTTCCGAAATTTATGAATGGAATCTTGATGGATTGACTGATAGACAATTGACTATTCTTGTGCATAGAATGCTTATGTATGCAACTATCTGTAAAAGTGTGAAAAATACAGATAGAACTATTCGCAAAATGATTGTTGCAGGTTTTACTAGCCAACTTCGTGGTTGGTGGGACAATTATTTGACTCTAGAAGAAAGGGCAATGGTTATTAATGCTACAGCCTCTGACGAAGGAGTTGATAACTTAGGCATGGCCCTAGTGGCAAATAGAGAAGATGCTGTTTACACCCTTATTGTTACTATATTAGAACATTTCAACGGTAGATTTACCAACCAACATGAAACAGTTCGCACTCTCCTTAATAGTCTTAGATGTAGGTCCTTAGGTGAATTCAGATGGTATAAGGATACTTTTATGAGTAGGGTTATGGAACTACCCAAAAATAAATTTGACCATTGGAAAACAAAGTTTATAGATGGCCTTCCCTCCTTATTCGCTGAAAGAGTTAGAAAAATTCTAAGAGGTAGTTATGGTGAAATCCCGTACAAAGATTATACTTATGGTACGTTGATAGGAATTTGCACACATGAAGGGTTAAACCTGTGCAATGAGTTAAGATTGTCCAAACATCTTAAGATGGATAAGCTTAAGGAAAAATCTCAGTTAGGAGATTTTTGTACTCAGTTCGGTCTACCCGAGGCTTCTACTCATAAGAAGAAAAAACATAAGTATCATAGATACCCTAACCAAGACAGTCCTTATAGGAAAAAGAGATCTAGATATAGATCCAAAGAAGAACGAGAAGCCAAGAAAGGTTATCTAAAGAAGACTTAAAAGATGCTTAAGAATTCCTCCGCAAAATGAAAGAATCAGACAAACGACCAGCACAGTGAAACAGCTGGACCCCACAAGCACAGTGAAGCCGCCGGACCCACAGCACAGTGAAGCCGCCGGACCCCACTCAAACAGTAGATACACTGTTCATCAACAGTAGATACACTGTTTATCAACAGTAGAAATACTGTTTTGTATAGTAAAAATACTGTAACAGGGACACACGAGACCTACTTTTATTGTTCATAGATTCTTTTCTTTTTCTATTTATACGTTTTATTCGTTCAGAAGAAGAAGAAGGAAATCGAGACCCTCTCTCTCTCTAGAATTCTCTCTCTCTCTCTCTTCAACGTGTAATTAAGAGTTTGTAGTTTGAAGTTTGTAACAAAAGAACAAGTAAATAAAGTTTTCAGTTCTTCATCTTTAGGCCTTGCATCCCGGCCAAAAGGTACTGATTTCTTTCTTAGTTAGTTTTTCTTCTAGTCTCTCCTCTCTGGCCGTGACGATGTCCGGCTAAGAGACTTCATATCTATGTTGAATATATAACTTCTCTCCTATATAAACCATGAAAGCGACGACATCTATTAAAATATAAATGAGTTTTATATATAGTATTTTGACTTGGTTTCGAGATGGTTGGTACAGTCTAATATAGCACTACTCTTATTGGCGTTGCCTTAGTGGCTTCGTCTAGCCAGCCATGAACCTTAGCCCGATTAAAGGAGTTGAAAAGGGCATCTTTTTTCACGGTTAGAACTACTAAATACATGGGCTCAATAAAAGTATGTATTATATTAAGACAGACCCCTTGCTTGAGTAAAAGATTTAATCTTCCATACAGTCATTAAACTGTATATAAAATTCAAGTATATTTCAATTCTTATATCCTTACTGATTGTGCGGATTACCACCAGTTTTTAAATATAAGAGTACTGAATTAGCTAGATTAAGAATTCTCAAATATGTTAAAATAGAAATCTTTAATAGGTGGAAACCTAGGTGGACATATAAAAGTCAGCAGAGGTGCGAAACAATTTCAGTTCCCGGTCAAACGGTGATTTCTATTTTAGCTTAGTTGAGAAGGCCGCGCGAATTATCGCCCGCCACTTAATAATANCCGCACGGCCTTCTCAACTAAGCTAAGATAGAAATCACTGTTTGACCGGAAACTGGAATTGTTTCGCACCTCTACTGACTTTTATATGTCCACCGAGGTTTCCACCAGTTAAAGATTTCTATTTTAACA